GATTCGGGTGTTGAAGCTGCAATTTCCCGTTTGTAATGCAAAATGACTGAAAATTGCAAACTTCGCAAGGCTCTATTTTCCTCATTTTACAACATTTCGCAACGAAACTTTGGAATATTACTAATTTTGTGATGCTCTTTCAAGCTGTGATGAAATATTTGTCTAGACTTGCCTAGATCAAAATTTTGGTTATAAGGGGAAAGGTCTATTACACTCATAATTTATTAAAACATAAAAAAAATAAACTATAGTTAAGAATGGACTTACGTTTGAGCCTTTTCTAACGAGACAGCGACCGAGAGCAGATCGGAGAAGGTGCTTTTGTACGGCTTTTTCGGTTTTGTTTTTGTTGAATCACTTTCAAGATCTGATGCTCCACCCATCAAGCACATGGTGGCGGCAGCCTCGGCCTCTGCTTCTGGATTAACATTTGGTGTACGCCTTCCACTCTGAGTGATACCTACACATTGATATTGCTCTTTGAAATGATGCCATTAAGGTGGGGGGAGGGGGTGGGGCAACCTCTCACCAACTTTATAAAGGCCAATTTACACGACACAACGTTTGTTTAAAACTGTTGCATGATGCAACCTACTTACAACTTGAGTTGTACTGTGCAAATCAAGTATACAAGTCAGCTATGACAACAAAGTTGTAAGCAGGTTGCATGTGACAGTTTTATGCAAACGTTGTGTCAGTTAACAAGCCTGGTTCAGGAGGAATGTTAATAAATAAATAACAATTCGTATGGCATGTTCATATCAATTGGCATGTTACTTACTTTGTAGAAGTTGTGATTCCAGAGCTTTGGTAGCTGAACCATTCGAACTCTGTGGCGAAGGTGGTGGTGTTGTCCACTGGCCATAAGGGTGAAATGATGGTGTTTTCCTTAAAGCTTGCATGAGGTTTGGTCTATACTCTGGATCGACACACCATAGAGAACCTTTACCCATTGTCTGGGAAAAATTAACAAATCAAGATATATTTTTATTAAAATTAAACACAATTAGCTGCAATTCACATTACATGTTAATTTAAGCATACTCATTCAAATAAGATTCCTATTACATTATTGCCGAGACTCAAGAAGTTTCATGTTTTGACAAAACTGTGACATGCTTAAGTTCTCTTATGATGCCATACATACCTGTCCTTTGTCTTTATCAACTTTCTTAAAGCATTTGTTTAATGACAAATTATGGCGCACAGAATTCTTCCATCCCAAGGGTGCATTCCGAAAATATGGAAAGCGCTCTGTGATCCAATTATAAATGTCTTTCACAGGCAGCTTTTTATTGGGCGAATCCTCAATGGCCATAAAAATTAACGATGAAAACGAGTACGGTGGTTTCCGTGGACTGTTTTTCACACTTAATAAGTTCATTTTGGGCGAACTACTGTGTTTAGGCCCAACTCCATTTATTTGAGTTCCAGGAATAAATGTTAGGTCCATATCAAAGTCCTGTGGGGGTGACAAGCGATCAGGTTTTGATCCACCTTGGATACCCTTCAGTAAGTTATTATTTTGTAACCAGTTAAGGTTTGTTAAGTCTAGATCTAACGGTTTCTTGTCCATCGGCATTACACCAAAGCAACTCTTGCTTAAATTCACTTTAACTTTTGCAAGTTCAACAGGATTGCTTGGAACTGAGTTGTTCACAGATTTGCTAAGCTTTACCAAAGGTTGTCGTTGAACACAAGTTTGCGGCTTTTCCATTTTTTTGTTAATTAGTTTCCACTATATGAAATTCTACAGTAAAAGATTGGAAATATTAACTGATTAAGCTGCAATGTGGCATATTTTTGTTATTTTTCTTCATCTCATGGCACTTATACAAATTGTCAAGGGGTAAGGTTAATCAGCCTATCTATGTCTCTTGTCAACCCACTTAAAACTACAATTCGCTCTCATACATCATAAAATTGTTTAATATTAGACAATTTTACTCATCGAATTGGGCATTTGTGCATTAACAGGTTCGCCAGACTATCTGCTTATAGGGAGCAGTTTAAGCTTTACGTTTGAGCGCAACAGCAAATGGCAACAGTTGGATTTGCAGAATTTTCTTTAACTTTTTGTTTCATATTTTCTTTCTTATATCAAAAGAATCTGAATGCATTGTAGTTTTACACAGTGTTGTATGATAACTAGAGGCCTAAATAAAAAGTTGACGAAGATTTCTGGTAGGTTTCTAGCCCAAAATC